TGTAAGAGTGGCTAGCTAGCCACGGTGGCTCATGCCTGCCATCCTAGTAATTTTGGAGGCTGAGACAGGATGACTGCAAATTCAAGCCTAGCTGAGCAAGTACTTTCTTATTTTGTAAACATAGATCATACAAGCAGACAGTTAATTTAATAAAGTTGTAGAATGCAGGCTGAGCATGAGTGTGACAAGGCCTCTGTAGCTCAAGAGTGATTAGAAATAATCCAGATTTAAGAGTGAATTTCTTTCTGTCTTGGGAGAAGTGAAGGGGCCGCTGAGTGTTGGCTTTTCCTGTCTCCCTCTGCTTCTGGCTCCACCAGCTGCTGGAGAAACACAAATGTGTCATGAGCCCTCCACTTTCCTGGGTAGAAATGCCTGGTCTGGGCTTTCTGGGCAGAGCCCACTTTCCAATGCAAGGACACACAGGGGGACTCACTGCCATGCAAGCACAATGCTGGCCGCAGGGTCCATTCTGAGCCACAGGCCGAAGTGCGTGTATGAGGAAGGGGTTGGGGAAAGTGCCATTTCCCTTGCCTTCTCCCTCCCTGCATGGCATCTACCTCCTGCGCTGGGGTCCACACAGTGCTAGAGAGAAGCAGCCTCAGCCTGTGAGCTCATGCAGCTCACTAAGGTGGGGTGGGATGCCGCTGCAGTATACTGCACCTGCTCCGTGAGAAAGCAGGGGAGCTCCCTGCGATGGATAGGAGCCCTGTGAGACAGCCCAGAGCAACAGGGGTGCCCGGTTTCACAAGCAGCTGCAAACCTGAATATTCAAATATTTCCATCCAAATGGTCCTGGGACATGGAGGGAAACTGAGAGATGAAGCATCGATCTAGTGTGTTTCCATGCTGATTACACACACATATCACTTGGAGAAACCACATAGTAGGGGCCAGGTGCACAGGCTACTCTTCTCTGAATAGTTTTTGCTTTCCTGATTTAATGTGGAGTTCAAAATCTGTAAAACAAAACTGGACTTTATAGTGGGACAGGGTGGTTCACGCCTGCCATGCCAGCAACGCAAAAGGCTGAGGAAGGAAGACCAGGTGATCCTAAGAGCTCAACTCAAGGGCTATCTAGATGACCATAGCAAAGAAATTAGACTGTAAAAATATGAAAAATTGAAAGAAAACAAAAAGGCAACATGGGCCATGTAGCGGCAGAGCACTTGCCTAGCTTGCATAAGGCCTTTGGTTTGATGTCCAGCACTTCAAATGTAAAAATGATTATAAATAAATTAAATAGGTGAACCCACTGGGCATCAGGTTGGAGGCATAAATACACAGCAGGGTTTTCAGGTGATTTTGAAACCCAATCACTTGTACTTCCTTAGTAGACTGTGATTCAAATATTTTAAAAAATGACAAATTACAGAATTGTTTTTATTCGTGGTAACAACAGTTTTTGTGAAAGTTTAGAGGTCTTCAACTATTCCATGTGTGCAGTGCGTTACAGCAAATGAATAATCATGTTGATGTTACAGATGACAGGGATTTTTAGTAGGAAGAAAAGACTCTCACATAAAATCCATGAGGTTCAAATGAAATTTATCTTGTGAATTTAGATTAAAGTTTCATGTGAAATCACAGTGAATTTTACTAAATGATGAACAAAAACACAACACCATCAAACTTTATTTTCTAGCTCTGTCTACAGAAACAAAGACTAACCCAGCAGCAACGAATGTATAAATCTCTGAGCTTGTACCCTCCAAATACTTGTTCATAGGAAAAAGAAGGAAGCTTCTCACAAGAAATGAATGGCTGACTTCAGGGTTTGGGGATATATATATCATATATATATATATGATAGCCCTGGCCATCTCCTTAACTGGAAACAAGAAGCCACTGAAAACTGCCATCAAGAGTGAATTTCGAGTCTTCTCTGACCAAAAACAGAGAAGTTAGACCCTTAAGAGAAATAACACAGTGGCTATGCTAGAAAAAAACAAATCAAAATGTTCATAGTGATATTTTAAAGATAAAGCCCTCATTGGATTGGAAACTGCTAGGTAACCAATTCAGTCTTTTGAATATTAACAAATGCAAAAATTTGAATATCAGCAAATATCTTTATAAAATATAACTTAGGCTACATAACTGACGAGATGAAACTACTCTTGCTATGATATTCCAGTGAATGAGATGAAAAGGAAACCATAGAATCAGGGATTCATCAGTTTGCAATCGAAAGTTCTAGTTGAATTGTAGACCCTGTTACCTAGGTAGATGGCCAACAGTGAGGACATCACAACCAAGAGAGCTTTGCTCATCCCGCTGGAAGAATGGCCCTTGTGGCAGGCAGAGAGATGAACCCGCCCCTCCCCAAGATGGCCGCCTTGTAATCTCAGGAAATCCAAGTATGTTGCAGCTCAGGACAAAGGCAATCTCACTTGCAGATGGACTTTATGACTGCTGCTGAGAAGATCTCGGAGTGAGAAGACCCTGAATCATGCAGGTGTTCTCCATGAAACCACCAAGCTCTTCATTTAAAAAAAAATATTATTATTTAAGGAGAATACAGCATAGCCTTAAAACAGAAAAATTACAAATGATACAGAATTTCCCTAAACAAAGTAATATGAATTTCACAGTATTTTTTGTAACACACAGTGTTGTCTTCAGATGAGTTGCTCATATTATCAGACATGTGCATGCAAAAGGTCCTTGAAATTGAAAGGGCATAGAATGCGGATGGTCTGGGAAGAAACGTTCTGCACTGTTTCTAATGTGTTTCTTTTTGTTTGTTTTTTTTTGGGGGGGTGTTGTTTTGCTTTGTTTTGTTTTTTACTAGTTTTTATTCTTTCTGTGGTCTAAGTGCCTACTTGGCAAGTGCAAGGACCTGAGTTTGATTCCCAGAACCGCCTGCCATGCCAGCCACCAGAATCATGGGCACACCATATTGGCCACTGAAACTGGGTCTGGTGGCACACACCTGTATTTCCTGTGCTGGAGAGGCTGAGACAGGATGATCACTATGAGTCTGAGCTGCATAGAGACACCCTATGCCAAGCAAATTAAGTAAACAAAATATTTTTAAAACAATTTTTAAATTTAAACACCTCAATCTCCCCTCACTGACTTGAAGATAAGAGACAGGCCCTGGCCCCAAGAATATGAGTAGCCTCTATAGGCTAGAAAAAGCAAAGAAAAAGATCTAAGAGATCTAGCTGATTCTTCTCAATGAGTCCTTGCTCAGACCTCCAACTTATATAACAGCAAGATAATATATTTGAATTTTTAGACCCCTATATTTATGTTAATTTGTCGGCAAAACAATTAAATAGTCCCACTTCCTATGATATATTCTTCCTACAAAGCTGACTGAGTCTACTTAAGTGTCTGATATTTTATGTGTAGCTACTAGTTTATAGGAAACAATACTCAGAGGAACACAGGAAGTGATGGGTTTGATGGTGTTGCAGCAGAGAAACAGGCAGAAGAGAAAAGGGAAGGGGGCCTTATTATAAAGGGAAAGAGGCTTCATTATCTTGGAGGACACGAAGATCTTCCTTCCTTGGAGGAAGGAAGATACGGATTTTTTTGGATTGGAACAAAGGGAGGCTGAGGCTTCTATGGCCTTTGCCAGGGGCCGGGGTTTGAGGGGGCTGTTTAGATATACCTGAGGAGCTGACTGGGGCCTTCCCTGAGGTGGTGGGAAAGGTGAAAGGAAGAAGGGGGGAGGTGGTCTCTGGGAAGATGAGCTGTTGTTTTAAGGGCTTCAGCCATATTAGATGACTGCCATAATAATTCAGCAATTCATACTAGGGCCAGAACCTATCAGGAAGTTATGGGCATGTTCATAAAGTTTAAACTGTGGGAAACTGCTAGAAAAATAACATTTTTATTTATCAAATAAAGCATGTGTGTATATAAGAGAAAGCCTTGGGAAAGTTTGGGAAATCACCTAACATTTTGCATACCATCAAGTTGTACTAGAAAAGTTCCCTCAAATAAGCAAATTATATATAGGAAAAAGTGCATTGTGAACACAAAACTGACTGTTTGCTATTAACAAAAGAATCACTGTTACTACTCCACACTGGGTGCTGGATGGGAAGGAATTTTTTGAGGGGGATGCTATACATGGTGTTGGTGTCAGTTTAAAACAAAAAACAAAAGGGTGAGGGTGAGTTGGTGGGTGGGTAACAGAAGACAACAGCTGCCAAAGATGGGGATGAGTGTCACTTCTACTTCTGCATTCTGTTTTTGCTTTTAGGGACCTTTGTGATTTTCTCAGGCAAATTTGGATAGTTTGGGATAATGTCTGCACTCTAAAATCATCTGCTTAGCATTTGTAACTATCTGCAAACATACTTTTAGATATAGACTATAACCTACTCAGAGCTTCTGAGATTAAAACGTGGGCATCTTTGGGACGGGGGCCCTCTTTCTGCCTCCCACGTGCTCTACTCTTGTGTCAGAAAACACAGAGTCTCTGTCACACATAACGTCATCAGTTCTACAAAGATAATCTCTATCCTTTCACATATTTTAATATGAAAAAGATACTTTAATTAAAAGATTGTCAATAATTTGACATTTTGCATGAAAATTTTTGTGCTCCAGAGAAGCCATGTCCAAAGACCAGATTTGAGCAACAAGCTAACAGTATGAAATCCCCGCCTAAAATTTGGAAAACACAGTCTTTCCCCTTACACAGGAGAGCTGTCCTAGTCTTTCTCTCACTCCCCTACTACCTCCCTCCCCCTGCGCTGCCTAGCTATAAGGGCCACCTTCTTCTTTGTGAGTCACTGACTTAGGGGCATTACAAATTGCTTGGAAGAGAATTTTCTCAGAATAAATGAGCAAAAGGAATAATATGCATAATTGTACTGCACAATGCCTCCTAGTATTTTATGTGTTCATTTGGATTGCCCTTATTTTGCTCCTTCAAATATTAAAAAAAAAGCAATAACTTTGTTTCAATTTTTGACAGCCTGAGGTATTTTGAAATTTGGGCTAAGCATATTTTCTCTGTTATCTGTGTGTCTCTATTTCAGGATGGAATGGGAAACTTGAGAATCACAGAAAAAGGTCTAAAGCTAGAAGGAGACTCAGAATTCCTACAACCTCTCTACGCCAAAGAAATTCAGTCCAGACCAGTAAGTTAATGGTGACAGAAAAA